TGGGTCGACCTGGAAGTCAATGTCATTTTTAAAAAAAGTCCGGCGGCTCTGTCAGGATCCGAACCCGCGACCGATCATCATCAGCACGCCAGCGTCTAACCGCTACACCACAGTAGTTCCCAAGGAATGGAAAAGACAACAGATCGTTTCGCCTTTATCACAATATCAAAACGTTCTGTTGTGTCTGTGCGCGAGTTTTCCATTCTATCGGTTGAGCAATCAAGTCATATTTTATGTTGTATGAAGCACTTCTTGTCATCATCTCGACTGCAGTCACCCCCAGTTTACTGTTTGTGCTTAGTTAGCCAAAATGTTTAATTGCTGATCATACCGTTTCAATTTCGTTCTCAAAAGTGTTACTTACTTAGGCGATTCTATTCTACCTTGGGGTTTAGAGGTTTGTCAGAGAGATCGCCAGACTTCTCTATCATCAGTTTCTTTCTTTTTCGGCTTTGTGCCATTCGAGCTTTGTTCCATTCCAGACCTCTGTCAGTCAGGGACTGTGGGATGTTGTCTTCACAGCGAACCCTGGGTAGCCCCGGCTCTTGGCCTACCATGCCTGCCACAGAGGCTGATTCTCTGCCATTTTGTACACATTTCCAAACCACTGTAACTGTGACCATTCTACTCAAGTTTGTATGTAAGGCATGGGTTTCAAGAACCTGTCTGAATGCGAACGTTGTTCTTTCTTGTCATTTGAACCACCTTTCTCAGATATCTAATTTCTGATCGTGAAGCTAGCTTCTGCGAGTTGTTGTCTCCCATCTGCCTATGCTAGTATTTATGCGAATAATATGGAAGCATGGACATCTTTAGAGAGAACATCATAATATGTTGTGCTTTCATAATTCGATGTCACCTCGATTAAAATGAAGTGCTGACTTTTGTTATGAACGAATTCACGAATCAATAACTGACATCAATGCACTAGGGAATTCTCACACGGGCTCCGTCCTTTTCTTCAATAACCAACAGAGTCGACATGCTAACAGTATCAGTTGCAGCTTGATTAAAAGTTCCCCGATGTTTCCCCCTCAGTGCTGAAAATCCTCCGAAACCTCTACTCATCCCCCCCTCCCCCCCCCCACCCCCCAATCCAATCCCGGATTGAACTGGTCTTTACTGTACTGTCGATTTGATCCCAGGGAGCCTTCACGTAGTCCGCTTTATCAAAAGGTAGCTCAAGCCCCGAGGAGCGGAAGCAGCTACTCTGTCAGCGGGCTCGTCACCTCTCATCATAACTGAATATCCTAGACAGAAACGCCATGATATGCTCCTGACCTGAGTCCTATCGCCATGATATTTGTTAGTAAAGTAAGTAAAGATCCCTTTTCATGCCGTTTAGGCTCATCGGTCATTGGAGAAAAGCACCCATAATTTTATAGACGAATCGGCACTAGATGGGTAATGTGGTCAGCATTACGTCTTTACTTCCCCAGGACAGACATCGTGGTACCCATTTTAGGCTAGGTCCACCTGCGACGTCTCATACTACGATAAAAATCCACATTTAACTTGATATTTGTTGATGTGGCGGAAATGTTTAAGGAAATGTCATTGTTGCCGCCTTTGGTCAGCAACGCACTGATTGAGGTTTTAAGCGTTATGGGGCCAGTTTTCCCTAAGCAAACACTCAAAGTAGAATTCTGAAACTTAACAAACTGAACATGTTTGGCAATAATGTTATAACAATGTGCTAAAAATATATATATTCCACTGCCAGTGGAACAAGAATATCGAACATAAGAGGAATGGAAGAGGTTATTCTTAGTATATAATTTAATAATAGTTGTTCACAAATCAAATTTTAGTCTTGTTTAGCAGGCAGTTATTATAACTACTGTATTGATAACACTTCCTTGGGTTTGTAAATATTAAAATATATTATATTATGAAATGTATGTAACTACACAGTTATAGATTACACAATTCTGAAGGTAACAAATAAGCATTTTCACATAGCTTTTTGGCGGAAGAGGATGGTAGATGTTTGGGAAAGGGGGGGGGGGGGGGGAGAAGGTGGGGTGAGGGATAGGTTCTAACAAATGCCACAGAAATTTGGATAAAGGCTAACACAACTGTATCAGTCACTAAAAAACTCAAAGCTTCGTACAGACAATTTCTCTGCTGTTCTGGGGCATACCAGCCTTAAAGACCACCAGAGTGGTAAATGTCCTTGCAAGCAACGCTGTCATAGGAAGCAGACCTTCTATGGACACAAATGACATAAGTCGTGACATAAATCAAGATATAGGAGATAAAACATTAACGAAGGTCTCATGCATGAGCATACAGATTTCTTCCTGACCTGAGTGTGAAGCCTAGGTACGTATGTACGTACATGCCGACAGCCAAACAATACTGAGGTTGGTTCTGCAAAGTCCTGTAAAGGATACGCAAAAAACCTAACATAATAACCTGACTTATGATGGCAAACTCTCACTTCAGTAGGTGGGTTCATTAACATATTTAGGTAGAAATGATTACAATGTCGAGGAACAAATAAAGATCAGTATTAATAACGTACATTGTTCATCGGCGACCGGTCGTAGAGGTGTCATAGCATAACTATGAGTGCAAAGAGACAGGTTTTTAATAGCATATTCATTCCAACACTAGGCTACCAGTGCCAAACATGGACACTATCTAAAGCCCATATACGCAAAATCACCACCTGCGAGATGAGGTGCCCGAGAAAAGCAGCCAACCTAACCATACGAGATCGAGTGAATAATGAAACTATCAGGCAAATTGTGGGAACGACACCTTGTACTAGATTCATCGAGAAACAGCAGATCAAGTGGTTTGGCCATCTCGTTAGAATGCAGCAAGATCAAATACCATCACAAGCACTACATCTCAGAAGATCAGCTACAAGAGCAAGAGGACGGCCGCGGAAAAATGGACCGACAACATTAAAGACACTACGCCCTCACGGCATGACATTAGCCAGTGGCAGTCAACGTGCACTGGATCGCAAATTATTCCTCCCCTCGGCGCTTAACGGCAGAAGTGGTTTATGATGATGATGATGATGATGATGATTAATAACGTAATTGGTTCATCGGCGACTGGTCGTAGAGGTGTCTGTCCAGTGGACGGCTTCGTCGTCGGTCGAGACAGTATTTGGGTCTGTCTTTCCTGATCGCATCAACACTGCAAAAAATCCTTTTCAGGGCTACTTCGTGGCGAGCAGTGCTAAGCTATTTTACATGGCGCCAATAATCTAGTCACAATTATAACCAAAATCCCCACCCACCCCCCCCCCCTTCTTCTTAGAGGGAAGCTGGCTGGACGTGACATTTTTTTTTCTGCAAAGCAAGTACAAAGTTTTTTTGTTTTTCTTTGCCAGGCGGCGATGGCACTCCGCACCGGAACGTGTGTGTGTGTGTGTGTGTGTGTGTGTGTGTGTGTGTGTGTGTGTGCGTGTGTGTGTGTGTGTGTGTGTGTAGTGGTTTTGTAACAGATACTGTATGGTATGTAATGGTACTTGTTAGAAACCACTGTAACTTTTTTATTATATTCTAGGGAAAAGCTACATATAAGTACTATATACGAAACGAACAAAAGGGCCCGTTCTAGAGATCTCTTCCTCTGACGCCGCGAGGAATTCCAGGAGTAGAGAAAAGAAAAAGAAGTAGAAGAAGGGAAAAGCCCTGCAAATAGTACTAGACAATTTGTAAAAGTCAAAGGAAACTCAATTTAGCGCCAAAATTCAATATGATAACAGTAACATCGAACGAGTACAGTTTTATTGATGAATACACGAAAAACTACTACTAATGAACAACACACATTGATGATCATCAATTCAGAGGTCACGGGTAGTTAGCATCCTTTAGATATTCTTTATATGATATGCCAGTGTGTTGGGAAATGAGCAGGCAGATAGACTGGCCGGTTCTGCACCACTTGGTGGTTAACTGAAGTATGACACGCTAGATATTGTGGGAGCCCTTTGGAAGCGAGGGAACTGTGCATCAGCGCAAATAGATCATAACGGTTTGAGGAGAATGGCGCGGCGAAGAGTTGCCAGGGGATCTGGTCGATGCTCAACATTCAAGGGAAAGGCGAGACGGATATACAATCAGACAGTTACTGGTGCCATCGAAATTAGAACTCTTCGTTTGCTGTTGAAGACGGGGACAGAGCGCTTATAGGACTGTATCGAGTGCTATGATGTCGATTCTTTATTCAACATTCAACAAACACTGATTGAATTCGTGGGGATTTAACAGGTAAGTAAAGTAAAGATCCCTTTACGCACCCTTAGGCGCATCGGGCATATGGGAAGAGAACTCATATTTTTACAGACCAATCGGCACTCTGTGGGTAATGTGGTCAGGATTACGCCGATTTAACAGGTAGCCATCCAAAACAGGACTAAAATTGCACGTTAAAAAAAAATAAAAAAAAAAATAATGGAATCAAAAAGTGAGGAATATTACGCTAATAATGATAAGATAGGAAATAAATTATGTGATTGCTATGACTATGCAGTCCTTCTTCGAGAACTCACAGGGCAAAAGAAATAGAAGGAGACTTAAAACTCAAAAAGAAGAGAATTAGAGACTGTTTTTAATAGTGTGAGGCAGGATTGCCAGATAAAAAAAACTTCATTTTATGCCAAACCATTGCCCAAATATGCCAGAAAATGCCAGATAAAGTGTAACATTGTACTCGATTCACATCAAAAGCTCTAGATTTAATTCTTCACAGTCATCCTCACTGGAACAAGTGGAAGACACAGCGTAAAACTTTTCGGATGTAAAATCTTTAAGCATTTTCTCAGATGGGATGAAATCTTTGCTACTCATCTATAATGATGGTACATTTCTTGTTCTGAAAATTACCAATAAGATCACCCTGCATTATTACTAAGGGAAATAACCTGCTAAACTGTGAATACTTTAGTCTATGGAGTTGTCAGCCTGCTTTTCAATTTAAATGTCAGATGCTTTTTAGTAATTAGTCTAACGCAAACACAAGTAACAGGATAGGGGTTTGTGAAGTGCTCTAAGGAAGTGGCCACTGCCATCCGAGGAGCCATCATACTTGCTAAACTATCAGTCGTTCCAGTGAGGCGAGGCTACTGGGGCAACAAAATTGAAAAGCCCCATACAGTGCCATGCAAAGTCACTGGAAAATGTGGCAGTGTTTTGGTGAGGCTGATTCCAGCCCCAAGAGGTACTGGCATTGTCAGTGCCCCTGTGCCCAAGAAACTCCTGACCATGGCTGGGATTGAAGATTGCTACACCTCTGCCAGGGGTGCAACCTCCACTCTGGGGAACTTCGCTAAAGCTACCTACGCAGCGATTGCAAAGACATATTTGTATCTGACCCCCGACCTCTGGAAGGAAACTGTGTTCACCAAACCTCCTTACTAGTAGTTTACTGACTACTTGATGAAAAACCACAGCGCCAAGAACAGAAAATCTACTAATCCAGTAACATTCAGTTCTTTACTGCACCACAAAAGTAACTCATAGGAGAAGTCACCGGGGCCCTCACGGGAAGCAAAGAATAGTGACACTGCACCCTACCAGGCATGTCGTAAGAGGCGACTAAGGGTAGGGTTGGGCTTGAGGTTGGCTACCTCATCCTGTAAAAACCATAGCCACAAAAACCAACCAACCATGGATAAGTCAAAAAGAGAAGCAAATAAAATCCAGCCAACCAAGATGAGGGAAGGCTCTTCAAATAGAAGAAGTATGACACGGTGTGGAGAAAGCCGCAAGGAGTCCGGATCGTTGACGTACCTCCTCTCAGCTAGGAAAACCTCCAGAATTGGCACCTGGAATGTTAGAACTCTCTATGATATAGGGAGAACAATGGAAGTAGCAAAGGAAATGAAACATTATAGAATTAGTATTTTAGGGTTATGTGAAACTAGATGGACTGGGGCAGGGAAAAGTATTCTAAATTCAGGAGAAACTATTTTCTTCTCAGGACACACAGAGGAAAATTCGCCGCACAGTGAGGGAGTGGCCCTGATGCTATCAAACGAAGCAGACAGGGCACTAATAGAATGGGAAGCTGTGAGTCCCAGAATAATAAGAGCATCTTTTAGAACAGTTAAACAGAAGGTGAACATCTCGGTAATACAGTGTTATGCACCAACAAATGATAAAGATGCATCTGTTAAGGAAGAATTTTACATGCAGCTTCAAAATATTATAAATAATGAAAGAAAGGGCAACTTAAAAATGTTGATGGGTGACTTGAATGCTAAGATAGGATCAGACAACACAGGTTATGAAGAAATTATGGGGAGACATGGTCTAGGAGTAATGAATGAAAATGGAGAATTGTTCACAAATTTTTGTGCAGGTAACCAGTATGTTATTGGTGGAAGTATTTTTTCCCATAAAAGTATACACAAGCCAACATGGGAATCACCAGACCATAAGACAACTAATCAAATTGACCACATATGTATTAACAAAAAGTTTAGATCATCCCTTTACGATGTTAGGGCTTTCAGAGGTGCCGATGTATTTACTGACCATTTCCTGGTGGTAAGTAAAATCAAGTTGAAACTAAAAAGATATATAACATCTTATAATCATAGAAACCAAAATAATGTAGGCTTTCTCAGAGATAAAGAAATTAAGGAACAGTTCTCAGTTTCGGTCTCTAAAAAGTACCAGGTGTTGCAGCAGTTAGCTGAAGATGTCAACACAGAAGTCTGCTGGGATCAGATCAAAGGAATCTGGAATGAATCTTGCGTAGAAGTTCTTGGCAAGAAAGAAAGGAAACATAAAGCATGGATAACACCAGAAACCATTAAACTGATTGAAGATAGGTAAAGTAAAAAGGCAGAATTAAACAATAGCAAAACTAGAGCTGCTAAAGCTAGAGCTCAGGAGAAATACACAGAAGCCAACAAGGAAGTTAGGAGGCATATAAGAGCAGATAAAGTGAAATATCTAAATGATCTAGCACAAGAAGCAGAGACAGCAGCAGCAAAAGGAAACCTCAGAGAACTTTACAGTAACACAAGAAAATTCATTCATTCATTCATTCAGTAGCATGTCCCTCGCGGAACCTCGCTGCCATAACAACCCTCCGGAAAACCTTCCTATCATGAGCAAGATGTCCTGCGTCTGATACACCCATCTGGAGATCATCTGCCACATCCTGCACCCATCTTCTCCTTGGCCTTCCTCTTCCTCTCTTCCCAGGCATATACCCCTCCATTATTGTTCTCTCTAGACCTCCATGACGTTTCAAGTGACCAAAATATTTCAATTTTCTTTGTTTTATTGTCTTTACTAGCCAACCCTCTTCAATATTCAGCTCTTGAAGTATGGATGCATTTGTTCTTTTCTTTACCCAAGATATTCTTAGAACCTGTCTGTAACATTTATATTCAAATGCATTTATGCGCTGTTCCGCTTGTTTAGTAAGTGTCCAGGTCTCACAGGCGTATGTTGCAATGGGAAAGATGCATGCTCTTAAAAATCTGACCTTTGTAATTCTATCTGTACAATTCCATAATTTATTCAGTTGTTTTAGTCTTTGAAGAGCAATTGATAGTCGCCGTTTAATTTCTTTCATTGTGTCACCATTGTTGGTAACCAGTGACCCAAGATATTCGAAATTTTCCACCACTTCCAATCTTTCCTCATTAACATATATTTCCTTCTCCATGGCAGTTTTGTTTGTATGCATTATCTTTGTTTTTGCTGTGTTAAGAAATAAGTTATGATTTTCACTATTTCTTTGGAGTGAGGTTAATAAGTTTTCTAAACCATTTTGTGATGTTGATAGTAATACTGTATCATCAGCATAACGAATTTCTGGTATTTCATGACCACCGATGTTTAGGGCATCATATTGTTCCTTGTTTATATCATCTCTTACATTTCTCATTATATTTTCGGCGTACAGGTTGAACAAATACGGTGACAGCACATATCCCTGACGGACTCCTTGCTTGATGCCAAACCAGTCTGATGTCTCTCCATCTATTCTGACTGCTGCTTGTTGGTCTTGATAGAGCATTTTAATGAGCTGCACTATATGTGATGGAAAGCCCATACAAGAAAATTAGTAGGTAAATATAGTCAGCCAACTGGATCAATCAAAAATAGTCAAGGAAAGGTACTTACTAACACTAAAGATCAAATGGACAGATGGGTTGAATATTTTGAAATGCTTCTAAATAGACCAGGCCCAGAGGTTCCCCCAGATATCCAGCCTTTAGAAATGGAACTGGATATCAACTGTGAGATACCATCCAAAGAGGAAATTAGGAAAGCTATAAATCTTCTCAAGGAAGGAAAGGCGACAGGCCCAGACGGTATCCCAGCTGAAGCCATCAGGGCCAACATAAACATATCAACAGAATTGCTACATAGATTATTCAGTAAAGTCTGGGAGACCGAAGAAATACCAGCAGACTGGAGAGAAGGATATCTTGTGAAACTGCCCAAAAAAGGTGATCTACAGGAGTGTGAAAACTATAGAGGAATTATGTTGCTGTCAGTTCCTGGAAAAATATTAAGTAGAATTATTTTGGAAAGATTAAAAGATGCTATTGATAAAATGCTAAGAGATGAGCAGGCAGGTTTTCGGTCAAACAGATCCTGTACTGATCAGATAGCCACATTACGTATTATAATAGAGCAAAGCATTGAACTGAACTCACCACTTTACATTGGATTTATAGACTGAAAAAGCATTTGACAGCATAGATAGAGAATCTCTCTGGAAATTGATGGGGCACTATGGAATCCCACAGAAAATTATCAGCTTAGTAAAGGCAACATATAAAGACATGAAATGTCGAGTTCTTCATGAGGGAAAGCTAACAGATGCATTTGAAATAAAAACAGGTGTGCGACAGGGATGTCTTTTGTCGCCTCTCTTATTTTTACTGGCTATAGACTGGACTATGAAAACAGTAACTGCTAACACCAAAAATGGAATTCAGTGGACCCCTACAAAACAGCTTGATGATCTGGACTTCGCTGATGATATTGCTCTTCTGTCCCATTCACGGAATCAGATGCAAGATAAATTAAATATACTTAATGCGAGATCAAAGCAGCTTGGTCTGAAAATCCATAAAGGAAAGACAAAGATAATGAGAATAAATCAGGCAAATAGTAATGTGGTTTCTCTTAATGGCACCCCACTCCAAGACGTGGAGTCGTACACCTATTTAGGCAGTAATGTAGATAAAGATGGAGGAACTGATAGAGATATTAAAATAAGAATACAAAAGGCAAGAGGGGCTTTCATAGCACTAGGGAATTTGTGGAGGTCAAAAGAAATTAAAAGAAATACTAAACTAAAAATTTTTAATTCTAATGTCAAATCATTACTATTGTATGGGGCGGAAACATGGAGAACAACCAAGGCAATTACTAATAAATTACAGACATTCATTAACTGGTGCCTGCGCAAAATAGAGGGAATAAAATGGTATGATAGAATAACTAATGTAGAACTTTGGGAGAGAACTAAACAGGCTACAGTGGATCAGGAAGTGAGGAAAAGACGCTGGCGTTGGATAGGGCACACACTGAGAAAACAGGAGAACAGCATAACTAGAATGTCTTTGCATTGGAACCCACAGGGGCATAGGAATAAAGGAAGGCCAAAAAACACATGGAGAAGAGAGCTGGAGAACGAGGTTAGAAAGATTGGGAGGACATGGGGAGAGCTCCATGCAATGGCGAAGGATAGAACGACTTGGCGTGAGTTGGTTGAGGGCCTATGCTCCATTGGGAGATAGAAAGGCAGAAGAAGAAGTCACAATGTTCTGTGTGTGTATTTCAGAAATTCCCGGAAATTATTGGTTTAAAAAAAATTAACATGGCTTTGTGGTGTTCTGTCGTAATTTTTACTGAATAAATAGTGCTTGGTGCATTAACAAAATAAAAAAAGACCTAATTTTTTGTTATTTGAAGCCCCACTCTGGCTTTTTCATGGGGGCCGCAATATAGGCAGGCCATCAATATGGCCAATTGTCTGAACGCGGTTTCTGGGACCTCTCCACGGTGATCCTCATCCGCATGGTGGCACTTTGTGTCATCAGGTGTTTGTCGCTTGTGTGACGTCCTAGTGGGGTAGAAAGTCAGTCAGTCAGTCACAATTAGGTAATATATATATATATATATATATATATATATATATATATATATATATATATATATATATATATATATATATCAGTGTTGCCATTTTGGATCTTTTTTATCCAAATTTAGATCTTTTTTATTGCATTTAGATACTGTTTTTGACGTTAAGATCGTAAAAATTTTTCTAGAGGCTTTTCACATGACGTTAGATATTTTATAGATGTTTTTTTGTTCTTTCATTGTCAATTTAATAATTACTGTGTTAGATATTTACTCTAATATATTTTTGTTTTGGT